CAGAGTATACTTTTCAAAATTCTGATCCTTATATTCGTACGAAAGGCGATATATTGAATTCCTTTCCAGATTCTCAAGCAAACAGATAGACAGATATTCACCTTTATGTCTCTATGGAAACACGACAGGTACCCTTACGAGGGGAGAGTATCAACTCGGCGTTTATAAACCCTCTCTGCAAAGGAGGTCGGCGCATGGTGGGTTAGGTATATACAGTGTTTTTCATTGCAGAGAAAATCGTTGTCTATCTGCCTACCTCGTCTGCATTGAGAGAGTTGATGAATAATAATAAAAATATATCGCATTTCAGTTACGAATGTTGAAAACAATATTCAGACTTCATAGATTTATATTCTATGTACGTCTCACGATTTAAATTTGAAATTGATGCTTAGTTTTAGATCCGAGCAGCACGCTGTTTGGCATTCATGGTCCTTATTATAACCCACGAAATTCAAAATGTAGCAGATGTCTACTGGGAAAACCACAATTCGGAAGGAGAGCGAATATGAAGCAATCCAGTTACGGTTGTTGGAAATTTTATTCAGGTATGTTTCAGATTCAACATCAGTTTTAATTGTCATGGACTTTCTAATATGTGATGTTTAGTTGCAGATCCGAAAAGCAAAGTGTTTGATACTTCGCAATAAATTGGAGAAAACCATCCAGTCAAGACGGATCCAATAGAAAATTCGCAAAGAGAACTGACCAGAGTATACTTTTCAAAATTCTGATCCTTATATTCGTACGAAAGCCGATATATTGAATTCCTTTCCAGATTCTCAAGCAAACAGATAGACAGATATTCACCTTTATGTCTCTATGGAAACACGACAGGTACCCTTACGAGGGGAGAGTATCAACTCGGCGTTTATAAACCCTCTCTGCAAAGGAGGTCGGCGCATGGTGGGTTAGGTATATACAGTGTTTTTCATTGCAGAGAAAATCGTTGTCTATCTGCCTACCTCGTCTGCATTGAGAGAGTTGATGAATAATAATAAAAATATATCGCATTTCAGTTACGAATGTTGAAAACAATATTCAGACTTCATAGATTTATATTCTATGTACGTCTCACGATTTAAATTTGAAATTGATGCTTAGTTTTAGATCCGAGCAGCACTCTGTTTGGCATTCATGGTCCTTATTATAACCCATGGAATTCAAAATATAGCAGATGTCTACTGGGAAAACCACTATCCGGAAGGAGAGCGATTATGAAGCAATCCAGTTACGGTTGTTGGAAATATTATTCAGGTATGTTTCAGATTCAACATCAGTTTTGATTCTCATGGACTTTCTAATATGTGATGTTTAGTTGCAGATCCGAAAAGCAAAGTGTTTGATACTTCGCAATAAATTGGAGAAAACCATCCAGTCAAGACGGATCCAATAGAAAATTCGCAAAGAGAACTGACCAGAGTATACTTTTCAAAATTCTGATCCTTATATTCGTACGAAAGCCGATATATTGAATTCCTTTCCAGATTCTCAAGCAAACAGATAGACAGATATTCACCTTTATGTCTCTATGGAAACACGACAGGTACCCTTACGAGGGGAGAGTATCAACTCGGCGTTTATAAACCCTCTCTGCAAAGGAGGTCGGCGCATGGTGGGTTAGGTATATACAGTGTTTTTCATTGCAGAGAAAATCGTTGTCTATCTGCCTACCTCGTCTGCATTGAGAGAGTTGATGAATAATAATAAAAATATATCGCATTTCAGTTACGAATGTTGAAAACAATATTCAGACTTCATAGATTTATATTCTATGTACGTCTCACGATTTAAATTTGAAATTGATGCTTAGTTTTAGATCCGAGCAGCACGCTGTTTGGCATTCATGGTCCTTATTATAACCCATGAAATTCAAAATATAGCAGATGTCTACTGGGAAAACCACTATCCGGAAGGAGAGCGATTATGAAGCAATCCAGTTACGGTTGTTGGAAATATTATTCAGGTATGTTTCAGATTCAACATCAGTTTTAATTCTCATGGACTTTCTGATATGTGATATTTAGTTGCAGATCCGAAAAGCAGTGTTTGAAACTTGGCAATAAATTGGAGAAAACCATCCAATCAAGACGGACCGAATAGAAAATCAAGAGAACTGACCAGAGTATACTTTTCAGAATTCTGATCCTTATATTCGTATGGAAGGCGATATATTGTATTCCTTCCAGATTCTCAAGCAAACAGATAAACAGATATTCACCTTTATGTCTCTATGGAACCACGACAGGTACCCTTACGAGGAGAGAGTATCAACTCGGTGTTTATAAACCCTCTCTGCAAAGGAGGTCGGCGCATGGTGGGTTAGGTATCATACATTCCATACCAAAACCAGGAGATATTTCATATGACCACAACATGCTTATAGCTGCAGCCCCAGGGAAGCTATTTCTAAGCCAATATGGATAAAGAAACATTTCAACTCACAGAAGTTTCAACTAACAAAAATTCCAATTTTGTCATGTGTAGAATAATGTTTGCAAATTTGTAATTATCCTTCAAAACAGCTCCTGATGTTACCGTGGATTTATAGTAGATATCATCAATGGCCCAACCTCAGCAAGATTACTTTTAGCATCTTGGAGGATTTTTTATAGCACCACAGATATATTGAAAACCTGCAAAACTCTCACAGTTACCTTCTTCATGAATGGTGTGTGATTTGTATCCACATTAAGTGTACTCATTTTCATAAGGGCAATATACAGTATACTTACCTACGAAGGTAGGTGGTATCCAAGATTTGGTGCTCATCTATATCTTGTGAAATTAGTTTTTTTGTTCACCATTTTGATGAAATCTGAGTAATCTGGAGTTCCACAACATAAAACTTTGTTCAGATGATGTAGATGATTTTTGTAAGTGATTATAGGTACATAATTATTTCTTGGTATCATTCTGTTATACTGAATTCATATTAATAAAAATATCTATCTATGTATTTTATGTTCTGGAACTGAATTAATTAATTAATAATTTTTGAAAATGAATGTAGACATTGACAAAACATGTTTTTCACTGTATAAGTACAATGCATTATAATGAATTAATATTTTGTTCAAAGATCACCCTTTGAAAACACTTACCTACCTACTAGTGTTTCTCCAAAGAATTACTAAGAGGAGGATCTATACCAGTTTACTTCTCCCCTCAGTGCTCATGTATAGTGTTTTCTCTCCTCCCCTTACATTACAAATGAAGATACTTTCATGAACATGTAGAATTTTCGATGAATTTGGAATCCAGGACTCATTTATGTAGGAATGAATTAGTTATTTACATGGTAGGTAATAGGTAGATATACCTCTTGTTCATAGAGGTAGTTGTGGAATAAAAATATGAACTTTAAAATCCTACAGGAAAATCAATACAAAAACACAAAAAATTAGAACTATATTAGGTACTTACCAATGAAATACAGTTTGATAAAAACAGAAGCAGCAAAATTATGAATCTATATTTCCAAGATACAATTTGAAATACAAAGGATATGTTCAGCTACCTGAATAATCATTGATATCTCCTTTAATTTGAATTCAATTTCAAGGAATGAACAGAAACAAGAAAAAAACTGATTATATATTATGAATCTGGGTTTTGGTTAAACATTTTGTAGCTTTTCACTCATTTGCAAGATATGGAATCTGAATGACAACTCTTCTTCCTTGCTGAATATTTAGAAAGATGTTATAATGGTCCTAAATAAACATTTATAAATACCTAGATATTTGATCTGTTCATCTGTTGGTTGTACAGAATTGTTTGAATCAAGGTAAAATGCTTCTATTCTGCTCATGTATTTCAACTTAATAGTTCTGGAAGTACATGCAATCTAAATTGGATATCATTACTATAGAAATAATACTACAATGATGGGAATCTATAAAATCCCATGCAGGAAATCATGAATATTATCTTAATATGATTCAGAGAAGGCAAGCATTTCATATAGAACCATAAAATACTGACCTGCACATTTTTCCAATGTAATCTTTCTTGCCCACCCTTGTGTATTGCAATTCAGAAGTCCATTATCACAATAGGTATTTGAAAGAGAAAGGAACTACTTATTTTTCCTACTCCTATTTTCTGGAGACTTCATATGAAACTTGTTCTTTCAGATGGGCACTACAAATAGTTAATAATCAGTAATAATATATATCTATGAATCACAACTTTACCTTGTTTTCATCAATTGGAGCAATGAAAGTGGAAAAAGGTATTCAACTTTTTGTAGTAGGTACATATCAACATATTTATACATCCAGTTCTCAAATTCACATTCGATGCTCCACGATTATCCATTTTTCCATCCAACTGAACTGAGGAACCATCAACAGAACACAGTTGATTTGATTTCTTGGTTTTTGAGTGATATGTTGATTCATGATTTATAAAATAATGTAGAATTGTGTCGGTAATTAATATGAAGTTCTTGTCCTGTACGCAAGAAAATCATGTAAAGAAAATCAAAGTAATTTGTAGAATGAATTTCATGAAATATCAAATAAATGAACAGAACTCAAGTATAACAAACAATAACAAAAATGACCTTGAATGTTGAATGGCTTGAATAATGGATAAACTGGTTCAAATGCATCACAGATGCCTCCACAGGTAACAAAGGTTTGTTAATCTGTGACATGACGTACACCATTCACAAAACATACTTATAAGAACGTACAACGTTGCCGTTTGAGAAAATCCCAAAATTTCCGAGACATATTGACATATAAAACGTCTCGAACATTTAGAATTGAAATGAACTCAAGCCCTCAAGCCTATGTTAACAGGCTCTATATAGTCATCGATATGTCGATATACTGATGCTTCCCCACTTTTGATGGATCAAGGTGGTTTCTATGTGTTTCTATGGGATCAAAAAAAGTTCTATTCTGTAGTTTCTAGTAATTATTGTACAGACGGCAACATTGATTTTCGATGTTTGTTTATTTACATCTGTCAGTTTTAGTTCTGTGTTGTGTGTTACGTCATCGCCCAAAATAAGGTAAGTTGATTTTATTTGTCGCTGGGTCGAGTATTTCTCCAAGAATTTTCCATTATATCATTATAAATTACTCCATTGCAAAAACGTATCAACATTCTGAAAAATGCTGCGGGAAAGGCTGAGTAAAACACGTTTTTCATATCCTTATGGTACTCCTCCTACACATAACCTAATAGATGAACTTCCATATGAAGGAAAGGACCGAAAAATCGCAATCTATGGATTATTTTTGTCTATATTGGTGATTGCAGTGAAAACTTTCACTAAATACAGTAAGTTAATTCGACTTGGTCACCCAAATTCCAGATATGTTGGACAAATTGGGTTAAGGTCAAGGTTATTGTTTAAAAAAATGTTCATTGTTGATTTAATTTTATTCCTTTCAGGAAGCTCCATTGAGAAATTAATTTTAGAACAACAGCTGGTAACATACCAAGTATTCTCTGAGGATGGCAATGAAATGCTCAAATATTCTTGGAAAACAGTGGCAAAATACAGCAACATTTGGTTTCCAGTCATATGTGGCATTTTGAGCAGCTATTTCACTTGGATCATGGTTTATCTGGATTCCAATGTACCGGGTGTACAACCACCTAGTCCACTTTCTCCCAAAAAAATTAAGTAAGTAACTATTAGTTTTTCCTGCCTTCAGAATTTTAATTACACCTTATTGCAGTAAAAATAACCTCCTTTTTTTTCAGGGATCAATCTGGACATACTTTCCATCTGAATTATGTATTTGCATTACTCATAGGAATCCTAGTGTTTTTCTATATGTTCCTGAAGGGTTCATCAATACAGTATTGAAAAATAATTTCTATTAATTTATGTTAGATATCATATTTTCACTCATGCCCAAAGTCTGAATTTGCTCTCATGAATCAAAAGTATCCCTAGAAAAAGTAGAATGATTTATTTCAAGAGTTTTGTTGATCAAAATGAAGTAAAGTTTGAAAAATTTGTAAATTCATGAATAGGATTATTATATTATTTATTGACATAATTATTTATAGGTATGTAATATTTCACAAATTATTATTCAATTAATAATACATATTTGAATGATGTATTTACTATTTACAATAATTTATTGTTTTTTTTCAGTGTTATGGAAAACTAATAAATTAAAATTAATGTTGATTCATTTTAAGAATCATTCAAATATCCATCAAAATGTAACAATACATTGTACCCTTGATTGTATTTTTTATTTATTATGGTATGGACATTTTTGTTATTTCTGTATTTATTTCTAATGTAATTGAAATAACACCATAAAATTGTAATTATTGTACTGAATATACTGGTATATAAATAAGATGTAGTGTTTTACATATAAATAAGTGCAAAAATATGCTCATTTCCAAATAATTGTAGGTTTTTATTGATTATTGCAACTTTGATTTTTTCAATTTTAAACAAATGTTGTAATAAAGAATCTAGAAATTCATGAAATTCAGGTAGATAATGGTATATATCTCATCCCTATCTACCATACAGAATTGAAAAATCAGATGAATTAATATTGGAAAGAAATATTCTCAGATATATTTATGAACACAAAAAAATGGATATGTATATATGAAGAAATACATTGTACTGATAATATTCTGGTTCTGATACATTTCAAATTTTATTTGATGTGGTATCAGTCCCATTCCAAATGATTCTTATGCATTCCATTCCATGGTTTCCATATTTCAGATCATTGTGCAATCTTACTTAAATTTTTATCATACACCAAAGTTGTTGACCTAGTATAACTTCGAATTTCAGACAGTCAAGCAGATGTGAAACAAATTAATTATTGAGCGAGAAGTACAGCTTGTAATTTTGGAAATTGAACGGTTTGAAATTGTCCAAAAACCTATTACAATATGGAGAAAACCAATATTTTCTCTGAGAAATTCCAATCTCTCTTTGAAACAAACTATCACAGTGTTTTATTTGAGAGTTATGATAGAGAAGGTGAGTTTTTTTTTAGTATAACTTTAATTTAAACCTCTGATATTAACATCTTGTCATAGATTACTCTGTGAGATCTTGCTTTCAATAACATAAAAAAAATTAGTAGCATAGAATGGAACATTTTTCAGATAAAAATACACATGGCAAAGTTATTGTTCAAGGTAGGGAATCTTCCGTATCCTAAAAGATGTATGAATGTATGATTTGATGTACTATTATTATAGTTAGAAATATTCATCTTCGCCGGTTCAGTCGGTCCAAGTTACCGCAGATTTGAAAACAGGGAAACAAAAGTCTCCTAGTCAATTTATCAACTTGTGAGCATACTGGATACATATACAAGGTGATTCCAAAATAGGTGGTCAAACATTGGGAGCATATAGAGTGGGTGAAATAGTTACGAAAACCTCTGTAACATTTTTTTCTGAAGTGACCTCCAAGAAAGATGCAGCCCCTCAAAGGGGGGCCTCGGAGAATGATTTTGTATTATTATCTCCAACACCTTGTATAATGAAAATCTGAAATTTTGTCCATCCACTTACTATTCAGTGCCGGTTCGAATGGAGTTAAAATCACCTCAAAATTAAATACAGGGGTGTGTCAAAATAGGAAGGTAGGGGGTAAAAATAACCCCAACTTTTTTGTTCATCGCAATTTCAGTTTCTTGACATCAAATTATAAGATCTCAGGGCTATTTACATAGAAAACGAAATTTCAGATTTTCATTACACAAGGTGTTGGAGATAATAATACAAAATAATTCTCCGAGGCCCCCCTTTGAGGGGCTGTATCTTTCTTGGGGGCACTTCAGAAAAAAATGTTACCGAGGTTTTCGTAATTATTTCACTCACTCTATATACTCCTAAAGTTTGACCACCTATCTTAGAATCACCTTGTATAACTACGTATTTATCATATCGCTGCTTGTAGTTTCAATATGATAAACAACATTCCTAAAACAATATTTAAACGCCATTTATTTTTAATCGAGTAGTATATAGTTTTAAAATGCAATTAGTTGTATATATTTTCAGATCGTAATTTGAAAATATGAAGTTTTGTTCCAATTTACCCCGCAGTACAAAGTATCCCCATTCTAAGGTACCTAGGTACAGGGTGATTCACCATAAATGCCCCCTCTAGCTCACTTATTTTTTTACTGATTTCAAAATTCGAAAATTCATCTGAAATGATGTTCAGAACATTTTTTACGCTACATCAGAAAATTCTAGGTGCTCGGAACGCTGTTTTTATCAAACGGGACACCCTGTATTTTATTGCATTCTTGATTCTCCCTGAAGAGCTGATTTCATCAATGTATCACTCTTGGGGTCTAGCAGGAATGATTACAAAGTAGGGTGTTCAAAATCGATATTTTTCAAAACTATTCATATATTGGTCAAACTGACTTACATGTCTCTAACTTTTGATTTACTACCTACTGACATTTAATTGGAACGATACGAGGTGGCTCAAGATTCATAATTCTGATGACCCTGTACCCGTACCCTGTATCTGTCTCAATTAATAAATGTCAGTAGATAGTAAATCAAAGGTTAAGATAAGGACATGACCGGGAGACATTTATGGTGAATCACCCTGTACATAATGCTATATATAGGGTGATTCAGGTTTTAAGGCACAAACTGAAATGGGAAAGTTTATATAAGCATAAGTCCGATCTCGTTTATTAGCGGAGCTACAGGGGGTCAAAGCTTGATTATTTTTTTCTATTAATTGAAATATCTCGCTTACTTTTCAAGATATCGTTTTGAAATTTGGTGTGGTCAATACTTTCTAGAAGGTCATCATTTCAAGCCATTTAAAGATTCTTAAAATCTACAGGGAGATACGTTTTTGGAGGTAGAGGCTTCTTTATCCCCTCCAAACTTTTTCGTAGTACGCCTCTGGCATCTTTCAGTGATCAAATTGTGTGGATCGTTCAATTTACAGGCTTTTTTGCTCTTCCATTTTCTTCGAGAAACAAACCGGTTCTGATATAAATAAACATATACGCTCTAAAACATGTTAATTTTGCCTATGTTTCGCTTACATTTTATTTTCCTTGAAAATGCAATGAAATGTACTCACTAAAATTGCAATCACGAGTCCAATCTGGATCAGTTTTGGGGATACAGAGGGTAAAAGTCAAGGTTTTTTTTTCAGTTGCATAAAATTTAACCGAAACATAGGCAATATTAACATGTTTTAGAACGTATATGCTTATTAATCTCAAAAACGGTTCATTTCTCGAAAAAACTTGAAGAGCAAAAAAGCCTGTAAATTGAACGATCCACATAATTTGATCACTGAAAGATGCCAGAGGCGTATTACGGAAAAGTTTGGGAGAATAAGGAAGCGTCTACCCCCATAAACGTATCACCCTGTAGATTATTGAAATCTTTAGATGGCTTGAAATGATCATCTTCTAGGAAGTATTGACCACACCGAATTTCAAAATGATATCTTAAAAAGTAAGCGAGATATTTCAACTAATAGAAGAAAATAATTCAGCTTTGACCCCCTGTAGCTCGGCTATTGAACGAGATCGGACTGATGTTAATATAAACTTTTTTGATTAAAATGATGAGATCTATCTTTCATTTCAGTTTGTGCCTTAAAACCTGAATCACCCTGTATATTTGGGATATACAGATGAAGAATTTACGAAATATCTCATCACTGCTTTTTTATTTCAAAATGGAATGAATTTTAGATGAAAAAGTGATCCCAATGCACTTCATGCTTATCCTGGAATTTATTTGCTGTTATTTTCAGAAACTTCGGATATCATTGAGAGCTGGTCATCAAGTAATGAGAAGAATATGTCTTGCTCATACTGCCGCATACAATTTTCTGATCCGCAAGTACAAAGAGATCACTATAAGTTAGATTGGCATCGATACAATCTGAAACAGTCTTTACTTTCTAAGCCGCCCATTAGTGAAGAGGAATTCTATGAAAAAAACGGGAATGGTAAGAGGACGCGATTTCTACAGGGTGTCTGTAAAAGGTCTTTACAAAAACATGCCACATATTCCGTAGACCAAAATTAGTCGATTTAAGTAAAATTACCTCAGTACAAAGTTGCATCGTGTAGGCTCCAGAGGGCCTTGAAGTTATTTTAAATCGTTTTTCCCATATAAATTCAAAACGGCATATGCGATTTTGTTGAAATTTGGTATATTGATAGAGTTTTATGTGGCGAAAGAAATGGTGTTAACATTTTTTCCGATATTAATCCATAGGCGTAGAACTTGATTTTTTAAATAATTGCACCTTTAAACATTCTACGCCAATGGAAGAACAGGAGTTTGAGTATGAAATTCAGATTGCGCAACTCATTTACTTTAAAAGAGGTACTCCTGATGAGACTCGATTGCTCTCATGGCTTTGACGAAATTTGCATTTTAGTAATTTTAGAACAAACAATAATTATTAAAATACAAACTTTGTCAAAACCATGAGAGTGAATCGAGTCTCATCAAGGGTACTTTTTTGTAGTAAATGAGTACCCAATCCAAATTTCATACTCAAACCCCTTTTATGAGCCATAGGCGTAGAACTTGATTTTTTAAATAATTGCACCTTTAAATTTGGATTGGGTACTCATTTACTACAAGAAAGTACCCTTGATAACACTCGATTTTATTCTCATGGTTTTGACAAAGTTTGTATTTTAATAATTATTTTTTATGTTCTAAAATTACTAAAATGCCAATTTCGTTAGAACCATGAGAGCAATCGAGTCTTATCAAGAGTACCTTTTTTGAAGTAAATGAGTTGCGCAATCTAAATTTTATACTCAAACTCCTTTTCTTCCATTGGCGTAGAACTTTTAAAGGTGCAATTATTTAAAAAATCAAGTTCTACGCCTATGTATTATTATCGGACAAAATTTCAACACCATTTCTTTTGCCACATAAAACTCTATCAATATACCAAATTTCAGCAAAATCGCATATGCCGTTTTAAATTTATATGGGAAAAACGATTTAAAAATTATAACTTCAAGGCCCTCTGGAGCCCAAACGATGCAAATTTGTACTAAGGTAATTTTACTTAAATCGACTTATTTTGGTCTAAGGAATATGTGGTATGTTTTTGTAAAGACCTTTTACAGACACCCTGTATAACAAAATAAATCAGGTAATTGCTGATGTTTTAGATGATTTATCAAGTATATCTGGATCAGATTCTGAGAGAGAAGACACGTTTGTTGCAGCAAAAGACAAATATTTTCTGCAAGATGAGAACAACAAGGTTTATTCCATCTATAAATGTATTTTGCTTGATAAAAAAGTAAGTCACAAAATTATTGAAAAATGAGTTGAAATAAGTATAAAAAAACTGGAACATAGTAAGACCTCACAATTTATATCTACAGATGTGCTATTGCATAAATTTTCATTGCAGAAACACAATAATTTATGTACGTTATTGTAACTTATACATCCTGATTTCAACACATTTTTCTTGGAATCATATTCACCGTAACATCCTCTAGTTGTAACTGTGTTTTTTTCAAAATACTCCACACTGGTATAACAATATTTGCTTTTGTGAGGGGGACACATAAACATCATATTCAACTTTTCTTCAGGTCTCGTTAGTTTGAAATAGTCGGTATCACAAAACGGCATTTTGTCCGTTTTTGTTGACGAATTGCACTTATAACAAATGAGGTTGATCGAATTCAGCAGGTTAATGTCATCTATTTCCATTTCTTGGGATTGCATTATTATAGCTCCATATACGATTAATATCACGTGGAAGTACATCAAGAAGTTTTTATGGGTATATAAACTTTTGTAGGTAACTGTCAAGAAGGAAATGTCAAACTGAAATAAAATCAATTGCTTCTCATATGATGGATCAACGGTGGTTGTTTATGAGAAAAAATTGCAGGATTAATTCTGTTTTGCGGGAATTGACTTCAACTTCTGAATTTCAAATGGTACCAGGAAGTTGTTTTATACAGCAGCATTTTTATCAGGTCGAAATTTCACAAGTGCAAGGTCAAATTCTAATTCAATTTTTTGGGTTTAGAAGGCTCAGTTGTTTGGGGATTAGTTTAGCTTCATGTGATTAATCAACTAGTCTAGGACTAGGAGAGATGAAATTTCAAACTCTTTTCGGTCACAGAAAAATATATATTTTTCAAAAACTGACAAAAGATAACCTCAATAAAGTATACATGGTGTACCTAAAAATTTCTTTACAAAATCTCAGCATATACATTCCTGAGGTAAAAGCCGATTTAAAGCAACTTACCTTTGTCCGAAATTGCTCAGTTTCCGAGATACAGGGTGATCGAGGATAACAGCAAACATTTTTTATTCAAAATAATTTAAATATTTCGCTGCGGCATCGAACATCAAAAACAGAAATATCTCGAAATCACTGTAAACGGCTCCCCCTCTCTGTGTCTCAGCTATTAGTCGTGCGATTCGTACCAAATTGGGACCGGTACCGGTATGGATGTATCATCATCAATATGATTAGTTTTTCAAAGACGAACATCCTGCTGGACAGTGCCGTGCTCTTTTTATCGAGATAAAAAAGGGGCCGATTTTTATGAAATCACATTAGGAATTTATTTGCAAGAAAACTAACTTCATATTATTGTTGCTCATGTGTCCGAACCACCATATGCAAGAAATCATCTCATTCCGAATCAACAGGATTATTGGCTTCATTTTTAGCCTCGAAAAAATACTGAACTCATATTAACTGCAAATTTTGGAACATTCAATAGCTCCGGTAGGTTATTACGTTCATAAAAATTATGTTCATATGTGCCGTTTTTTTTTTTGTAACCTTCCTAGGAATCATATGGAAATGTACATATGGGGGTTTGAAATCATGAAGAACAATACTATGAGGTCAGTTTTCCTGTAAAAAAAATTCCTAATATATGATTTCATGAAAAATTTACCCCTTTTCATTTTAATAAAAACGCACTGCACTGTCCAAAGTGATGTTCGTCCCTGAAAAACTAAATAGATTGCAGGACTAATAACTTATGAGATATAGAGGGGGGGCGCTGTATACAGGGTGATTCACGGTGGATGGCACATTAGACGTTCCTGGAGAACGCAACTCAGGATTATCCTGAAAAGTTGCCTTATCATAGGGTGTGAAAAATCGAAAATATTCAACTTTTTCGTGTCGAAACTATTCATAATAATTGATCTAAACGGATTTCATGTCCCTATCTTAACTTATCATGTACTATCAATCGATATTTAATTGAAATAGATACAGGGTGGTCAAAAATCTTAATTCTGAACCATTTTACTTCATTATTATTTGGGATTTTCCCTGCTCATTTCTATAAAATAAAAATATGAGTATTATCAAAATATCTATATTTCTGCTCCTCAAACATTTTTCCCGGTACTAATATAAGAAATTCAAGAGTGCGGATGTTGTGATTATGATCCGATTCTATTGAAAATTGGTATCTGGGGTTCCTCGAGATCGGAGATTCGTGAAAATAGGAAAATTCAAGATGGCGGATCCAATATGGCGGACGAGTTTTGTAATTATGATCCGATTCTATTTAAAATGTTCATCCGGGGTTTTAGGAGTCCGTGATTATGATTCTTTCGTCAAAATTGGGAAATTCAAGTGAAAAAAAAGGAGTAGAAAATGAATGGTAGTTTGAAAAACTAAAGAAACACGCTTTTGATGAATATTTAACTGAAAAAATATTTTCTAGAAAGAATGTATATAGCAAAACAACGTTTGTGGGGTCAGCTAGTCCTTGAATAAAAACGAGAAAAATCGATTTTCCATAGGAAGAAGTACCGGAAGAACGCGTGATAAGAGACCGCTTGAGGTGCTGTCACTTAAACACAAAATGGACGATCGTGATGGTCGCGGGCGGCCATTTCTCGGCGGCCATCTTCCAGGACAACGAGATCCTGCGCCACAAATCCTTCCACTATTACACGGTGCGTGCAGGCCAGGGTGGCTCCCAATCGACGCGAGACGGCAAGCAAGGGGGGTCGCAGCCCAAAAGCGCGGGGGCGTCTCTGAGAAGGTACAGGGGTAACTTTTTTCCAATTTATTTCAAGCACAGGGTGATTTACCATAAAAGCCCCCCTACTCTAGCTCAGTTATTTTTGAACCGGTTGCAAAATTTTAAATATCATCTAAAACGATCAACAAAGGACTTTCATAATATTGTAGCGTTGAAATCCCTTTACTTTTCATTTGTACGCTCTCAACTTGAAAATAGCAGCTCTGTGTGGTGTCCTGCCTTCCAAGCTCATATCATGAAAATAGAAAGAGTTCAGTAACGTTTTTTGCGTTATATTGGCTTCAAGCTCGGTATTCCTACGGAGGAATTTAATTACGACGATATTTTCAATGGGGAAGACCACTGAGAGAAGAAATCCGTGCAAACCTCTTTCAATCGACGAATCATGATTCACGTTTGATGTACAATCAATATTATGAGTTGAAGTTGAAGGATATCGAATCTATATCGTTTTGAAATCAGCATATTTCATTCTATATTTCAAACAGCCAAATATGATGGTGGAGCCGTGACGTATTAGTCCCCAGCTGTAGCTATCTCTCTCTGATACTTCGTCAATCTGCAGTGTTGCAGTGTGATTGGTCAGTTCAAGGACAATAGGCGTGTTGGGACTAAGACGTCGCACCAGTCTCACCAATGAATTGACAAAATCCCAAATAGCACAGGAATTGTGTGTTTTGAAATGGACATATTTTAATTTATTTTTTTCACCGTCTTAGAATGGATGACAAAATTCAAAATTGATTCGCTGGTAGTTTTTCATTATAGAGTTCACGATAATGTCGTTTTAGAAAATCAGTGGTCTCCCCCATTGCCTGAACATAAAAGCCGAGAAGAGCGTAGAAGCAACACTGATATCAGCACTATACAAAAAATATGTAATGAACAGATTGATAGTCCTGAATTATTGGCCTCCCTCAAATTTCATGTTCCTCAAAAACGATTACGTTATAGCAGCACATTCAATTTAGAAACTCATAGAACTATATATGCAAACAATAACCCGATAAACAGGATGATGACGTTGAGGGACAGAGTGAACTGGGACATTTCTAACACTGGCACTGAAAGAGCCGAACGCATTTTTTTTTTTTTTTTTTTTTTTTATCGCATGGAGCGCACGAAAGGGAATCCCTATGATGTTCAATAAGGATGACGAGGTACTGTATTTCAAGAACTGAAAAAACACGCCACCTAGCGAGAGCGGTAAAAACCAAAATAGCTGGATGGTTTCTTATGTTATTCATAAAACCTTTATTTCTTGAACCAGACCTTGTTAGCAAGATTATTAGTTCCTGAAGTAGGTAGAACATCTCGTCACCCCTATTGAATCTCCCAATACATTGTATTTAATGTGTATATATGTATAAATGTATCTTCATTAATGTTCTGTGATATGTCTAGGAATCTGTTGTATAGGCTATATATTTATATTTTTTTCTTTTACACTGGATGTAAGGTGCTCGGAACGAACGATCTACAGGGTACTATATGATTTTTTTAAATGGAACACCCTATTTTTCATTGTATTTTTAGATTATTCCTGAAGAGCTGATTTCATCAATGGGGTCTAGCGAAAATGATTACAGAGATATAGGGTGTTCAAAATCGATATTTTTCAACTTTAGGTTTTTTTGTGACGAAACTATTCATTATCGGTCAAAACGGCTTTCATGTCCGTATCTTAACTTTTGATTTACTATCTACTGACATTTGATAATTGGAACAGATACAGGGTGATCAGAATTCTGAATCTTGAACCACACTGTATATGTTCCATTAAAGCCGTTTTGACCAATAATGAATAGTTTCGATAAAAAAAAATCCTACATAATCACCGAGTAATTGAATAATCGAACAAAATTGGGCCAATCCAACGATTTCAATCCATGCAATTATTTGTGCCCTTCAAATAATGCATTTAATTATGCCGAAAATAATACAACTATCAAATGATTAATCGTTCAATGAAATAGTCGACTATTAATCAAATAATTTAAAAAATATCCTAATACTCAAGTTATTACTGGAGTAAATGAATAAGATCGATTAACCAAGTAATTGAATGAATAAGTAATCTGAAACTCCAGTGTTCACTGGAGTAATTGAATGAAGTAATCCAATAATAGACTGATTACTTCGGTACTTGAATGGTCCAGTAATTTAATGATTGAGTGATTACTCACTCAAATGAATTGTCAATACTGGAATTATTACTGGAGTTTTTGAATGAATGCATAAAGTAATCGAGTGATTAGCCGTTAATCAACTGATTCTTCCGGTATTTGGATGTATAAGTGATTACTGGAGTAATTGAATTATTTGAACATCTTGTTCAACTTCATTATTTGCAAATATGCGGAAAAAATAAAAACTTGTTGAAATCCAAATTTCACATATTGACTGAAATTTTATCATTGTTCTTGGGCACTTCATCTAAGTATGAATCCATTTCTTTTTTGTTTTTTAGGCATAATGAACAGTCCTTAGCTCAAAACATCAAGGACACTTTATTACTGTGGAAAGTTGAAATCGAAGCTAGTTCCAGAATATTTTATAGAGCCACTGGTTCAAACAGGGCGTATCTGTTCGGGTCTAGCCCTCTATTAGACCGTTTAAATAATTGTCTGAGGACTATACCTTTTTCCACTAGAAGGCCTACTTTCACCGAGGTCAAAAGGGTTTATTCCTTGCTTTCAACAAGTGAGGTGTATGGTATGTTCATATCGCATGTATTCTTCATGGATTTGACATGGACTTTATTTATTTTAGTTTCTATGGAAAAATGTTTAGAGACTTTTGCGATACAAAAACCTTCCGAAGTCGACACTAAAAGAAACAAAAACCGTTCCTCTAGTATAAACAGGGCGAAATCCAGGGAAGTCATAGACAGACCACTTCCCGTCATACTATCGAGTGCTAGCAGCTCAGAATTAGAACTGGACAAACGTCTTGAAGATCTAGAATTGTCTACTAACGATTTAGAAATATCTTTCAATGACTTGAAAGAGTTTGAAGATAGCTTGACGAGCGAGCAGCGAAAAAAACAACCAAAAAAGAAGAAACCAAAGAAGAGCAAAGCAAAAAAACTCAGAGAGCAAGAGGATGCTAAGAGAAAAGAGATAATTGATATATTGAGCCAGGGTGACCTTGAAAAGTTGAAGAAACTGGTGGAAGAAAACTCCGCAATTTCTGAAGACCACGACAAAAACACCGTGGAAGAATTTGTAAATAAAATCGTTGATGAAAATCAAAACACGTTGCTCCACATAGCCGCTCTGAATGAGCAAGATGAGTTGGTGAAATTTTTGTTAGGGAAAAACGCCAATCCATGTATGAAAAACAAAACTCAACATACTGCCTACACTTGCAGTCAAAGCAAACAAATCAGAGAAACACTGAAAACATTTGCTAAAGAAAATCCAGACAAATTCAATTACAATAAGGTCAGTTAAAATTTTATTATTTTCAATAATTACTTTCAAATGTGGTTTTATTTTAGAGATAATTTTCATTTCATTAGTTTTTTAGGCTCAAATCCCAGTGAATTCTTTGACAAATGAAGAATTGGCAGACAAGAAAAAATTGCTTAGAAAAATCAAGAGGGAAAAGGAGAAGGAAAAGAAAATTGTGAATGATATAAAGAAAAAGGAAGAAATTGAGAAAGACAGATTCTTGCAATTGAGTGATAGAGAAAAGGTAAGATTGTCCTCCATTGCTTCATTTCTGTTCTTGAATGCCTTTCAAGCATATTATTCCAATTTAAATGATAATTGGGAAAAAGTATATGATTTTTTCATCGATTGCAGAAACAAAACTAACATTTCTAATAGGTATTGACACAAATTTCCATGACTGAAATGCGATTTGATGTGTCATCTAATTATTATGAGAAATGTATCTTGTTCCGAGAAAGGATTTGTAACAATAACTCCCTTTAATTTTTTTCTTTCAGATGGCATTGGCTGCTGAGAGAAGAATTCTGAATTCCAAAGGCACTGTAACTACTAGGTGTTTTACATGTGCTCTTGATATAGCTGGTAAAGTGCCATTTGAATACTCATCTAATTTATTCTGCTCTGTAGAATGCTTAAAAGCACATAGAATGCTGCATTCGACGATTAGGTGATTTATTTTTTATAAATTCAAGATTTCTAAATAAAAAAAATCAAAAATTGTGTTATCTCAATATCTTATTTAGTCAAATATCTAGGCTATATTGATTTTATTGGATTAAAATCATGAGGATTTAGGAATCGGGTAGATAAAAACGATTTCATAAAATACATTTATTTTCAACAATTTCACGATTATGGAAACCAGATACAAGTTTTTAGATGTACCAGGTTGAAGCTTACAGAGTGTTGCTTGTATCTCAATCAGAGTCACTACCTTATTTTCAAGATAGGAATAGAGTTTTCCTTCATCACATTGACCAAAATAGTCATTTTGAAGTGATATTCTTTGATAAGAAAAATAGAATGAAAGTTTCACAACATTCAGAAAATGTAAATAATTGCGCGCTTGGTCCTATGAAGAAAAAGAAATTATCAACAAGCAATGCTGGCAAGAATTGTTTTTTTTTTTCAACTGAAACTCATTAACCGACAAAAAATCAGGTCCATGTAAATACCGATAACATCTATCAATCTGACTTGAACTTGTAAATTTATAAACAAAAAATGTAACAAACAATAAAATTTCATAAATACCAAAATACTATCTGATAAAAAATGGTTGGTTAACAACTAGACTAGAAAATACCATATAAATTATTATCACCAATAAAAATTCAAAGTTAGGAAATGTTATCAATCTGGTAACTTAGGATTCATCACAGGTATCACGAAGTCTTCCATATTTGGAATCACCATTATTTTCTGAAAAATTGATTAGTTCAATAAAAAGTTTTAAATCTGGATTCTGAGAAAAATAATGAAATGTAACTCATGCAATCCAACATGTTACAAATCATGACTCAATATTAGTCAACCATTTCGTATCAATCAATGTTATAAATTTTATTCCTAATATTTTGTTTTGAAAATATGCAAGCAATTAATATTTGCTTTATTTTCACCGACGTGCTGTTTGGCTTTAAATGATATAATTCAAACGAATTTGAATCAAAATAAGCATACAAAATTGAAATAAATATGCAGGATATCAATTAGGTAAGTGGCCAGAGTCCATACAAGCGGCGATTATCCGGAAATCAAGACTCGGAAATTCATAGTTTCTCAAGAAATATTTTATCCGTCAACATGGTGAATCCCTCATACCATTTTCTTGAATATTGGCAGTTTTTTTACGATTAAGGAACTGATTTACGTATGGTCGGGATAAACGGAAAACCGATTTTATAAAAAAGAATTGGACTTCAAAACTATGCATTCTTTCGGACCTATATTTATATGAACTCTTTGAATCACACAAAAAAATCATCCCTTGAAGGTTGGCCACAGTAGTCGCCTCAATCGACCCATGCATTATTCTTAACTGGAATACCAGCCAAAACCAACGTAGTTTGACGATTCTGTAACGTTTTTGTGCAGTTTTGTGACGTTTTTGATGCTTAGACAAACCCGTGACGTTTTTATGATGTTTGGCCCCACCACTCAGCCCCGCCACTCGTACAGACTAGAGTGAGTATAGATTGAAGAGTGACGAGAATATACCTCCAAATGGCTGCCGTTTCCGGAATGTCATTCGGGGTCGTCACTGAATAGGTAAAAATTTTAAGGGTATCTCCCATGCAGTAATGAAATTTCGCCTTCAAGGTGCCCACCTAAAGTTAGTTTTAGACATTTGATATTTTCATTTCATCATCTAAATAAACTGAGACAGAGTTCCAGAAGACGGATCCTAACAATTAATATCCAAGGTATCAAAGTAAAAAACAGAGAGACAAAGCATTGACAAAGTGAAATAGAATGTGTATAACTGAATATAGAAAACAAGACCATATTTGAGGTCTCACCAATCAAAAAGTGTACCACTGTTGTCGTCACTGTATTTATGAAGTCCCTCTAGTACTGACGAAGGGTATGAAATAAAAATGCCACAAAAACGTCATGGGTTTGTCAATGCATCAAAAAGGTCATAGTATCGTCAAACTACGTCGGGTTAGGCAGGTTTTCCAGTTAAGAATAATGTATGGGTGAGATAGGAGTCGATTGAAGCAATACTGGCCTTGTATTTCCAATAACGCCCTGCATAACTTCCACATAATATTTTCAATAAAATCAAAGAGCAAAAAACAGAGAGACAAAGCATTGAGAAAGTGAAATAGAATGCGTAGAATTGAATGGTGAAAGCAAGATGGTGAAAGCAAGACAGGTGGACGCACCTCCATATTAGAGGTCTCACCAATCAAAAAGTGTACCACTGTTGTCGTCACTGTATTTATATAGTCACTCTAGTACAGACGAAGGGCATGAAATAAAAATGCCACAAAAACGTCATGGGTTTGTCAATGCATCAAAAACGTCACAGTATCGTCCAACTACGTCGGGTTAGGCAGGTATTCCAGTTAAGAATAATGTATGGGTGAGATAGGAGTCGATTGAAGCGATACGGCCTTGTACTTCCAATAACGTCCTGTATAACTTCCACATAATAATAACAATAAAATCAGAGAGCAAAAACAGAGAGACAAAGCATTGACAAAGTGAAATAGAATGCGTAGAACTGAATGGAGAAAGCAAGACAGGTGGACGCACCTCCATATTAGAGGTCTCACCAATCAAAAAGTGTACCACTGTTGTCGTCACTGTATTTATAAAGTCACTCTAGTACAGACGAAGGGTATGAAATAAAAATGCCACAAAAACGTCATGGGTTTGTTAATGCATCAAAAACGTCACAGTATCGTCCAACTACGTCAGGTTAGGCAGGTATTCCAGTTAAGAATAATGTATGGGTGAGATAGGAGTCGATTGAAGCGATACAGCCTTGTACTTCCAATAACGTCCTGTATAACTTCCACATAATAATAACAATAAAATCAGAGAGCAAAAACAGAGAGACAAAGCATTGACAAAGTGAAATAGAATGCGTAGAACTGAATGGAGAAAGCAAGACAGGTGGACGCACCTCCATATTAGATGTCTCACCAATCAAAAAGTGTACCACTATTGTCGTCACTGTATTCATAAAGTCACTCTAGTACAGAGGAAGGGAATGAAATAAATATGCCACAAAAACGTCATGGGTTTGTCAATGCATCAAAAACATCAAAGTATCGTCAAACTACCTTGTTTTTTTTCTTCACTGTTTTTTCCCTTTTTGTTCACTATAATATGACTGTTATTTTGAGATATCTTAATGATATGTAAGTTTTGTTCACTATTTGTAATTTCAATTATACAACAGTCGTTAATACTTCATGAATGATCTTATACCAGGAATTACTGTCTGATCATTAATGTCATTCCTACTAGAAAATCAATTATACTTTATATATTATTTGTATAAAATGTATCAATGAAGAAAAGAATGTAATGCAATAACTGTAAAAAAAAATAATGAAAAAAAAGAATATTGCATGGGTGAGAACTTCCAAATAATAATTCCAACAAAACTCGCGCAACTGTAAAATAAACATCCACTCACCTGGAACTCTTGCCCCAATTTCTTTTCTATCCAACTGGTAACCATGTTGTAGTTGATGTTCCTCTCTCCCACTACCGGTTTCGCCGAAAGGGACAATTCCGGCACCGGTCGGAACCCCAACCACACCCTGTCGCTGGGCGGTGGGGGGATGTTCACCACCAAGGTGCCCACCACCGCTTTCACCTCCACCGTGAGCCTCAGGTGGGTATTCGACACCCCTACAAAACATTTGTATTATAGACATATTTATTTATTTAGGTTAGGATACTAAAAACAGAAGAAGCAGAGAAGACGAGAGGTCTGGTAAGGGAGGTTGAGAGACGAGGGGATAGACGTTAAATGTACGAAATACTACAAAAAATGTAATCAATAGTTTAAGAACCGAGTGAATATTAAAACTGTGTTCTAAAGACCCAAATTATTCGTGGAGCACTGAGTAGTGCTCAAAAACAGCAACTATTATAGTTTTTTTTTTTATTTTTTTCATTTCTGGTTCTCACGAAAAGGGATATCCTGTAATGTTCAGAGACCATCGTAAGAACCAAGGGATATAAGGTAGGAATTGGTGTTCCTTAAATTTCTGGAGGTTATATGCCTCGGGGAACACCTCCCTTGGCAATGTGTTCCAGGGCCTCGCTGTTCGTTGGAAAAAGGTGTTCTTTAGGTCTCCAGTGACCACAAAGGGATGCGAAGCCTCAACTCGACGGTTTAATCTCGCGGGGACTGCCAAGGGAGGAACAATTGTTGATATTTCAGAAGAGCATCGTCCATAAAAATATCTATAAAATAGGGCCAGATCGCCAACTTTTCTACGGTGTTCCAGAGAAAGTGAGTGAGTTTGTGAGCGAGGCATCACCCACGAGACGAATTGCCCTTTTTTGGACAGAATCCAACAGTTTCAGGGTATGTTTGGGTGCTGCACTCCAAATATGGGAGTATTCCAGTACAGGTCGGATCTGCGCCTTATAGATCATAAGCAGCTGACTGGAAATGAAATAGGTCCTGGCCCAAAACAGAAAACCAATTTTTTGGGATGCACTTTTAGCAATTGATCTCTCGTGATTTTCCCATAATACCAAGCATTGAAATGGATGTCTTCAAAGGTATGGTTACTCCTGAAATGCTTATGTTGGGCACAGTGAGATCAGCTTTTCTAGAGAAAAGGCATGCTTGTGTTTTGTTTGCATTGAATTCTACCAAGTTATTAATCATTCCAGAATTACGTCATTTGACAGGTTGCTGAGGGGCAAACATTGTATTTTGTCAAGATCTGTCATAGAAAACCAGAATTAGTGGGATCGTTTTCCTTGGAATCCGAGTTGGAACCAGAAAGAATTTCATTATTTTGTTTGGTGAAACTGTTATTATATTGTGGATGTGGCAGAGGGACGGCCTGGGCAATGCTCATCAAAGGTAACCTAACAGATAGATCCCCATTCGAGAATTGTTGCCAAGTCCATATATATGTTGTCAACATTTCTCCCGTTTGTTTCTGATTTGCCTGGCTGGTATTGGATCCCTGGAAGAGAAGGCGGTATGGCGGGTACTATCATCCGCGAAGCTGGGTACTGGACATGAAGTTGCTTCCAACAAATCGTTGATATGGAGTAGAAATAGTGTTGGTGCTGGAATTGATCCTTGCGGAACACCAGCATTTATGATAAGAGAGTCAGATTAAACTCAGTCGACCACTACATGGAGAGACCTGTTTGAGAGAAAACTAGCTAGCAGAGAACATAGCTGGGGAGGCAAGCCATAAGATGGAAGCTTGGCGATGAGTCCGTGGTGCCAGACTCGATCGAATGCCTTGGAGATATCAAGTGCCACGGCTAAGGTTTCATCATATTTTTCCATAGATTGCTGCTATATATGTGAGACGTAAGCGAGCAGGTCACCAGTTGATCTCTGATGACGGTGCCATATTTTCTATCGTTGATAATACTTGAATGTTCCAGGCATTTCATGAGCTCGATGTTGATGGATTTTCTCCATGATCTTTGGCATTATCAGCATCCTTTGATGATCGAATTGTCTCATATGCCTCTAGCCTCAACATATTCTGCTCTAGTCTCAGGGCCTGGATTTTTCTGCCATCGATGGAATGCTGCCTGTTTGGAAGCGACAGCTCTAGAGCAGTTTCTACTGAACCAGGCCTTATCGCAAGTTAGTGATGAAAGCCACTATAGTGAAGTCGAAGCAACCCGATGCCGATGTTCCCATTCTGCCTTCACGTTAATGACTACTCGACTCATCTTTTCTATCCTAGACTAACCATGGTAAATCATAAATTGATAACCCCATAAGTGGTCTCCAACATGACCATCACATATTACAATATCGACAAATCAATGAACAGATAATTGGAAAGCAACGGTGTTCAACTGTACTGACCTTCCATGGCCTTCTTGATGTAGCGATTCTCCGTGGCGGCCTGGAAGAACTTCGACTCGGCCAGCCTGTCCACCATCTTGATGAACTTCTTGCCGCCCGAATTGGCCGAGCCGGCTGTCACGTCCTGCGGCACGTTCGGTATCTCTTGGGAGCCCTCCTCGTCGGAGCTGCTCTCCGCCGAATCGTCCACATCCGAATTGTATATGGCCGATTTCGGCTCGCACCCGGATTTCTCTGGAAAAAGTCAACAAACATTTCGTGAAATACTGTCTGTAGGTTAATCGAGGAGGTGGTACATTCATTATTCCAAATTTTTTGGGATTTTCTCTCCTCGTTTCTATAAAATAAAAATATGAATATTATTTCAATATACGTGTAGTAAGGACAAATCAGATGATTTGCCCCAAAATGTCACTGCGTTTAAAGAATTTTCCTATCAGAGAGCATAAAAGAAAAATTCACTAGCTTGTCAGTGACGATTTGTATTGAAAAATTTTTGGAGAAGAGAAATAAAGGTATATAGAAAAAATATCAAATTTTCACTTATCTTTGGACGTTTCGGGACCGATTCTGCTCCAGTTTTCAACATGAAGAGATTTTTTCAATTGCGTAGTCGTATAATATGTCTTGAAGCTTTTCAGTTTTCAATGACAATTGGTGACGTTGGCAATCAAAGAAGTTACAGGATGTTTTCATCAATTAATATTGAATTTACCATTTTCATGTTCAGATTTTAGTAGTGAATACCATTTTATAGTAGACGATGTGAATGGATTAGACAGAACATGGTATTCACTACTAAAATCTGAACATGAAAATGGTAAATTCAAGATTAATTGATGAAAACATCCTGTAACTCCTTTGATTGCCAACGTCACCAATTGTCATTGAAAACTGAAAAGCTTCAAGACATATTATACGACTTCGCAATTGAAAAAATCTCTTCATGTTGAAAACGGGAGCAGAATCGGTCCCGAAACGTCCAAAGATAAGTGAAATTTTGATATTTTTTCTATATACCTTTATTTCTCTTCTCCAAAAATTTTTCAATACAAATTGTCACTGACAAGCTAGTGAATTTTTCTTTTAGGCTCTCCGATAGGAAAATTCTTTTAAACGCATATTCATATTTTTATTTTATAGAAACGAGGAGAGAAAATCCCAAAAAATTTGGAATAATAAACATTTCGTGGAATTTTCAATAGAATCAATAAACAGAGGATTGCTATTCGAATTGCAATTCTCATATCAATCTTTTTAACATATATTGTCACGATCCTTGTCTTCCTGATGGGATAAGACCACTGGACCATCTTTGAGAGTAGCTCAGATAGGGTAGATAATATCAACTTAGACAATAATAGTCAAAGGGTATGAGAAGTAGTAAAAACCATATTCAAAACATAATAGTTATTTATTATTCAAGGTATAAAAGTAGTAGATTTCAGCTCCAGGTTGTGTTGTCTCCCGACGCGTAGCGGAGGGAGACAAAAAACCGTGAGCTAAAATCTAATATTTTTCCCGTGTGTAATACACTAAGGATTAATCAATATTGAGAAGATATTACATTATTTTGAAATCTGAAAATTATCGACGTGAAATTTTAAGTTTTCAACAGTAGGGACACCTTCGTTGTAGGCATCTTTGATCATTTTTTTGAAGTAATCAAATATCTGATGTCACTTCTGTCAGTCTAATTCTGTGATTTGATTTCAAAAAATTGCGAATTTAGTGGTTGTTTAGTAATATAAGTAACCGCAAAGTCGAATGGAAGATAAAAGGACTTGTAGTTCTTTCTCAGAGACGGTATTGTTGACTCATTTTTCGGAACTTTAGAAAACAAAAAACAGTGTATATATATGTGATATATATCATACATATTTCTGTTTTCATATCACAAAGAGATTGTGAACTATATTGAAGCAGGCGAGTGCCCTGTTCGGATATTTTGTGATCTCAGCAGGGCATTTGACTGTGTCGATCATAAGATTCTCTTAGACAAACTGTTCCGTTATGGCATGGTATACCATTAGCATGGATAACAGACTATCTTTCTTATAGAAAACAATACGTCGCTATTAACAAAGCAACTTCTAGCACGGTCTTCTCTGAGTTAGGAGTGCCTCAAGGGTCGATATTGGACCCATATTGTTTGTTTTGTATATTAATGATTTGGAATATTCAATTCCTGGAACATTCATAACAATGTATGCAGACGACACGTCAATTATAATTTCTGACAGATCAGATTCAGTTTTGAAAGAAAAACGTGACAAAGTTTTTGAAAATATCAACAAATGGTTGTCTGCAAACAATTTGTTTTTGAACGCGAAAAAAACAGATTCAATGAGGTTCCATCATCGGCAACGGAGGTGTGATATCATAAGCTTTAGAGCTAATGATAATTATGACACTGTAACAACAGAGTGTGAGAGCTTGAAATTTTCAGGACTTCACATTCATAAATTGGCAGAATCACTGTGATTTTATGATCAAAAAAGTCAACTCTACTTCATGTCAGTTCAGGAATATACGGCAGGTTTTAAATGATGATCAGCTGCTGAAGCTGTACTATGCTCAGGTGGATTCCAGACTGAGATATGGAGTGTACTACTGGGGTTTTTCCTCTAGTTGCTCTGATGTCTTCATAGCTCAAAAAAAACTCATGCGAATCATTAGTGGCATGGGTCTCTTTGATTCATGCAGACCAGCTCTCAGAAATTTTAAAGTTTTAACTGTCCCTAGTCGTTTAATTTTCGACGTGTGCTTGTCTGTGTTCGAGAATAGAAATAAATTGTTTGTACTGAATAAATGTTAACATAATATTGATACGAGACAAATAAACAATGTTTTTGTACCATTTGGAGAAACCAAATTAGCTTTCGAATCTCCTGACCAGATGGCCCCACGTGTTTATAATTTGTTACCAGATTCCATAAAAGAATCCAAAACTGTTTTAAACGAACACTCAAGAATTATCTTGTTGATAAGTGTTATTATAGTTTTGAAGAATTTTTGTGTTTAAGTAGGTAGTTTTCGTCCTCTTTTTTTCAGTATTTTTTTAATCTCCGATCTCCTTTTCTCTTCTTGTTTTTTTGACGATTCCTATACAAATTTTGTAACTCTGTCTTGAAGGAAAATAAAGATTATTATTATTATTATTATTATTATTATTATTATTATTATTATTGACAAGGTCATCCAAACAAAGACGCTCACCATAAGCCTGCGGATTCTTCAGCCGCATCAGGTTCAACTTCGTCTGCAACGTCAGCACCATCGTCCCCCGATAATTCACCGCCAAGTCGATCCACAGCCCCCTGTCGTCCACCTGCGGCTGCCCTATCTTCTCGATGGCACTAGACGGCGCCTCGTCCAGAGACAACTCGGGAATGTGGATCTCCTCGATGAAATAGGGGAGTTTGATGGTGGAAAGTTTGCGCTCGATGCGATCCTTCACTTTGCCGATGAAGTTGGCGTCTCGCACGCAATCGAAAAGGATCCTGCCTAGATAGAAATATAATTTTTCTACAAACGCTCAACAAAGTAGCCTTTGACGCTTTCAAATTCCAGCACAAAGTTGACGTTTTCCCAGAAATGTCATTCTTTGACAGCATTTGCGCTCGTGAGTATAGGTGCCAATGACACTTTTTTTTTCAAGCCCATGATTTTTGTATCTCCCATTATAATTTAATTGAATGAGAAATGTTGCGAAATCTTGGCATTTGTCTTTCAGCACAAGTCCTCTATAAAACATGCCTTGTCCTACAGGACCGTATTTAGTAAAACTGTATTTGCCAAAGTGCCGAATCGAATTGATTTTGTTATAACTTTCTTATTTTTTGGGATTTTTAGGGCAATCAGGAAAAATATATTTTTTCCACCTATATAAGCCTACTGCATTGCTTGAACCGCCGATTTTGAAAATCTAAACGGAGAGTTATCTATTAAATCTGACATCAAATTCTTTCTTTTTGGGTCTGAATTAGTGTTTTTGAATTTTTTGGGATTTTCAGGGCAATCAGGAAAAAAATTATTTTTCCACCTATATGAGCCTACTGTATTGCGTGAACCGCCGATTTTGAAAATCTAAACGGAGAGTTATCTATTAAATCTGACATCAAATTCTTTCTTTTTGGGTCTGAATAAGTATTTATGAATTTTTTGGGATTTTTAGGGCAATCAGGAAAAAAATAATTTTTCCACCTATATGAGCATACTGCATTGTTTGAATCGCTGATTTTGAAAATCTAAACGGAGAGTTATCTATCAAATCTGACATCAAATTCTTTCTTTTTGGGTCTGAATTAGTGCTCATGAATTTTTTGGGATTTTCAGGGCAATCAGGAAAAAAATAATTTTTCCACCTATATGAGCCTACTGCATTGTTTGAACCGCTGATTTATAAATCTAAACGGAGAGTTATCTATCAAATCTGACATCAAATTCTTTCTTTTTGGGTCTGAATTAGTGCTCATGAATTTTTTGGGATTTTCAGGGCAATCAGGAAAAAAATAATTTTTCCACCTATATGAGCCTACTGCATTGTTTGAACCGCTGATTTTGAAAATCTAAACGGAGAGTTATCTATCAAATCTGACATCAAATTCTTTCTTTTTGGGTCTGAATTAGTGCTCATGAATTTTTTGGGATTTTCAGGGCAATCAGGAAAAAAATAATTTTTCCACCTATATGAGCCTACTGTATTGTTTGAACCGCTGATTTTGAAAATCTAAACGGAGAGTTATCTATCAAATCTGACATCAAATTCTTTCTTTTTGGGTCTGAATTAGTGCTCATGAATTTTTTGGGATTTTCAGGGCAATCAGGAAAAAAATAATTTTTCCACCTATATGAGCCTACTGCATTGTTTGAACCGCCGATTTTGAAAATCTAAATGGACAGTTATCTATCGAATCTGACATCAAATTCTTTCTTTTTGGGTCTGAATTAGTGCTCATGAATTTTTTGGGATTTTCAGGGCAATCAGGAAAAAAATAATTTTTCCACCTATATGAGCCTACTGCATTGTTTGGACCGCTGATTTTGAAAATCTAAACGGAGAGTTATCTATTAAATCTGACATCAAATTCTTTCTTTTTGGGTCTGAATTAGTGCTCATGAATTTTTTGGGATTTTCAGGGCAATCAGGAAAAAAATAATTTTTCCACCTATATGAGCCTACTGCATTGTTTGGACCGCTGATTTTGAAAATCTAAACGGAGAGTTATCTATTAAATCTGACATCAAATTCTTTCTTTTTGGGTCTGAAATTAGTGCTCATGAATTTTTTTGGGATTTTCAGGGCAATCAGGAAAAAAATAATTTTTCCACCTATATGAGCCTACTGCATTGTTTGAACCGCTGATTTTGAAAATCTAAACGGAGAGTTATCTATCAAATCTGACATCAAATTCTTTCTTTTTGGGTCTGAATTAGTGCTCATGAATTTTTTGGGATTTTCAGGGCAATCAGGAAAAAAATAATTTTTCCACCTATAATGAGCCTACTGCATTGTTTGAACCGCTGATTTTGAAAATCTAAACGGAGAGTTATCTATCAAATCTGACATCAAATTCTTCCTTTTTGGGTCTGAATTAGTGCTCATGAATTTTTTGGGATTTTTAGGGCAATCAGGAAAAAATAATTTTTCCACCTATATGAGCCTACTGCATTGTTTGAACCGCTGATTTTGAAAATCTAAACGGAGAGTTATCTATCAAATCTGACATCAAATTTTTTTTTTTTGGGTCTGAATAAGTGTTTATGAATTTTTTTGGGATTTTCAGGGCAATCAGGAAAAAAATAATTTTTCCACCTATATGAGCCTACTGTATTGCGAGTACCGCCGATTTTGAAAATCTAAACGGAGAGTTATCTATCAAATCTGACATCAAATTCTTCCTTTTTGGGTCTGAATTAGTGATTATGAATTTTTTGGGATTTTTAGAGCAATCAGGAAAAAAATATTTTTCCACCAATATGAGCCTATACTGCATTGCGTGAACCGCTGATTTTGAAAATCTAAACGGAGAGTTATCTATCAAATCTGACATCAAATTCTTTCTTTTTGGGTCTGAATTAGTGTTTATGAATTTTTTGGGATTTTTAGGGCAATCAGGAAAAAAATAATTTTTCCACCTATATGAGCCTACTGTATTGCGTGAACCGCCGATTTTGAAAATCTAAACGGAGAGTTATCTATTGAATCTGACATCAAATTCTTTCTTTTTGGGTCTGAATTAGTGCTCATGAATTTTTTGGGATTTTCAGGGCAATCAGGAAAAAAATAATTTTTCCACCTATATGAGCCTACAGCATTAGTTTGGACCGCTGATTTTGAAAATCTAAACGGAGAGTTATCTATTAAATCTGACATCAAATTCTTTCTTTTTGGGTCTGAATTAGTGCTCATGAATTTTTTGGGATTTTCAGGGCAATCAGGAAAAAAATAATTTTTCCACCTATATGAGCCTACTGCATTGTTTGAACCGCTGATTTTGAAAATCTAAACGGAGAGTTATCTATCAAATCTGACATCAAATTCTTTCTTTTTTGGGTCTGAATTAGTGCTCATGAATTTTTTGGGATTTTCAGGGCAATCAGGAAAAAAATAATTTTTCCACCTATATGAGCCTACTGCATTGTTTGAACCCGCTGATTTTGAAAATCTAAACGGAGAGTTATCTATCAAATCTGACATCAAATTTTTTTTTTTTGGGTCTGAATAAGTGTTTATGAATTTTTTGGGATTTTCAGGGCAATCAGGAAAAAAATAATTTTTCCACCTATATGAGCCTACTGTATTGCGAGTACCGCCGATTTTGAAAATCTAAACGGAGAGTTATCTATCAAATCTGAAATCAAATTCTTTCTTTTTGGGTCTGAATAAGTATTTATGAATTTTTTGGGATTTTTAGAGCAATCAGGAAAAAAATATTTTTCCACCAATATGAGCCTATACTGCATTGCGTGAACCGCTGATTTTGAAAATCTAAACGGAGAGTTATCTAATAAATCTGACATCAAATTCTTCCTTTTTGGGTATGAATTAGTGTTTATGAATTTTTTGGGATTTTTAGGGCAATCAGGAAAAAAATATTTTTCCACCTATATGAGCCTACTGTATTGCGTGAACCGCCGATTTTGAAAATCTAAACGGAGAGTTATCTATTGAATCTGACATCAAATTCTTTCTTTTTGGGTCTGAATTAGTGTTTTTGAATTTTTTGAGATTTTCAGGGCAATCAGGAAAAAAATAATTTTTCCACCTATATGAGCCTACTGTATTGCGTGAACCGCCGAATTTGAAAATCTAAACGGGAGAGTTATCTATTAAATCTGACATCAAATTCTTTCTATTTGGGTCTGAATTAGTGTTTATGAATTTTCAGGGCAATCAGGAAAAAAATAATTTTTTCCACCTATATGAGCCTACTGTATTGCGTGTACCGCCGATTTTGAAAATCTAAACGGAGAGTTATCTATCAAATCTGACATCAAATTCTTCCTTTTTGGGTCTGAATAAGTATTAATGAATTTTTTGGGATTTTTAGGGCAATCAGGAAAAAAATAATTTTTCCACCTATATGAGCCTACTGCATTGCGTGAACCGCTGATTTGAAAATCTAAACGGAGAGTTATCTATTAAATCTGACATCAAATTCTTTCTTTTTGGGTCTGAATTAGTGTTTTTGAATTTTTTGAGATTTCAGGGCAATCAGGAAAAAAATAATTTTTCCACCTATATGAGCCTACTGTATTGCGTGAACCGCCGATTTTGAAAATCTAAACGGAGAGTTATCTATTAAATCTGACATCAAATTCTTTCTATTTGGGTCTGAATTAATGTTTATGAATTTTTTGGGATTTTCAGGGCAATCAGGAAAAAAAATAATTTTTCCACCTATATGAGCCTACTGTATTGCGTGTACCGCCGATTTTGAAAATCTAAACGGAGAGTTATCTATCAAATCTGACATCAAATTCTTTCTTTTTGGGTCTGAATTAGTGCTCATGAATTTTTTGGGATTTTCAGGGGCAATCAGGAAAAAAATAATTTTTCCACCTATATGAGCCTACTGCATTGTTTGAACCGCCGATTTTGAAAATCTAAATGGACAGTTATCTATCGAATCTGACATCAAATTCTTTCTTTTTGGGTCTGAATTAGTGCTCATGAATGTTTGGGATTTTCAGGGCAATGCAGGAAAAAAATAATTTTTCCACCTATATGAGCCTACTGCATTGTTTGGACCGCTGATTTTGAAAATCTAAACGGAGAGTTATCTATTAAATCTGACATCAAATTCTTTCTTTTTGGGTCTGAATTAGTGCTCATGAATTTTTTGGGATTTTCAGGGCAATCAGGAAAAAAATAATTTTTCCACCTATATGAGCCTACTGCATTGTTTGAACCGCTGATTTTGAAAATCTAAACGGAGAGTTATCTATCAAATCTGACATCAAATTCTTCCTTTTGGGTCTGAATTAGTGCTCATGAATTT